GCTTTGCTGAAGTAACAGCACAAAACACAATGTGAGAAGTGTAAAAATATTTTCGGTTCATTATGAAACTATCGCAGGGGATATCAGACCACGACGTCGCATCATGGTCTAGGTTATTAATGGGAAACAGTCCAACAACCAGCGATTGCCCATATTTTCGCCCCTTCATAGTTTAGTTTGGAGAAAAGTGGCAAGCTCCCTATGGGCCACAAGCTCTCTTAGCTTTTAATAAACAAAATAAACTCTCTATAAATGCATCAATGCTAACTGCAGTGCAAATGCAAACCTGTCACACCCACATTATTATTTAGCCAAATAATCACAAACTCACTACAGGGGTTTTATTGAATCTACAATGGGAGGAAAAAGATCAAACAAACTATTTAAATATTTACAAGCTCAAACAAACTATTTACATATAAGCTGTCAGAACACCATAATCCAGAGATTTGGAGAGAAAGAGTGAAAGAGAAGCTCCGAGCTCCAACGAACTATAGAGATTATGCGAGAAAAGGTCAAATGTGCTCCAAATGCTAAGTTACTAAGTGGGTCTAAAAAGTCTGGCCTCTCGCTCCCAACATTTCTCTACTGTCCCAGAATGGTCACACACACGGTGTCTCCCAGGTGCTGTTTTTATTGTCCCCGGGACAACGGGACATCCTCCTTACCAATAATTGTAATGACTGATTACTCAATTAAATCATTTATCAAGTGAAAGGGCCAAACAATTGCAAAGATTTCAACTGCTCAAATGGAACTATTTACTGCTTTTCTGTTTCATGTCACAGTAAATTAAAAAGGGTCTCTGGACTGTTGGCTGGACACAACAAGTAACTTAAAAACAACACACTTTAATTGATAATAAACAGAGCTGGGCCCCCATGGACAGGGTGTCTTGGCTGAAAGACACATCAGTCGGGGGTCTGCTTGCTAACCCGGGGGCATACATGGTTCCCCTGTGTTCACACATGGATGCTCTGCAGAGAAACAACACTCAAATCACTTTGCCTCTACAGTCTTAATGATGGCCGTGGTAGTGTTGATATGTGATAATGTGAAAAATGCATTCTTTGCTCCTGTGTACTGTTCCGTGTGTTTTTGTTCAAGATTATCAATGTCAAGATTACAAAGACACATAAACAAATACAGATGGAATCAGAGAATATAAAGAGGGCAGGACTCAAAGGCAAGAAAACGTTCTTGCCGATCCCCCAACTTTCACAGCCACATTTGGGATTCTCACCAACAGCTTTCCTCTCAAGACAAATGGCCATTTATAATGTCATGTGTTCTGTTCTAATCATTATTAAAATGTTTCAAAGAGGCTACAAGATAATATGATTTATGCATTTCAATTATACCATGCAGCCTAAGCAGTTAGTACGTCGAGTGACAGTAATAGATTTTGGAGCAGCCGAGCTCAAACGGGGCACAGAGGTGAGGGCTGCTGCTGGGGACGTGATGAGACGAGCATTACAACGAGTGAATATCAACAGACACTCATTTCCACATCAAAAGAGAAATGACTCATCAGAAACCCTTCAGAAGAACAGTCTCCGTTTTCAGAAACCTGTGGTTAATTTGTGACTTGTGCTTGACACAACTGGCCTTTATGTGTTTATGCCTGAAAGTGTAAACACTGTAGAATACTGGAAGGCAACCTCAAATGTGAATCACACACAAAGAGACTGCATTGGCCTTTGTGCTGTACTGACTCTAAATCCCTCAGTCACCATTAAGTAACTCTGAACTTTTAGTGATGTGATCTGCTGCTGCCAAAGAAGAGTTTAATACACATTCAAATGGTGGGATTAAGAGATGTCACTGATCTTCATAAGCACTTCTGCTGGCATTGAAACTAATAGGCTCCAGCTATTCTCCTCATGAATAATATGCATGGCTAATTGAATTAACAAGCAATATCTCAGCTGATGTTCAAACGGGGGAAAAAACAAAATAATTTAAACCTCAATTTCGCCTGAGACAATTATTCAGTTTCAGCTTAAATCTAATATATTTTTAAAGGATTGACCTAAAGCCCAGCAGTAAATTGAGTTAGCGTGTCATCCTGTTGGCAGAAGAAAACGTAAACATGCTCATCAGTGTGAACATTAGTGGGAGAATTAAGGGAGACGTATTGAAATGTGACTTTAGTTTGCAACAGCACGACCAACACATACACACACATAGATAAACATAAGCCATTTCAGCACAAACACATCGAGAAGAGGAGAGGAGAGAATGTGTCCTCTGACCTGAGAGGCAGATGAAGGTCATGTAGTCTCCCTGACCACCAGTGGCCAGGAAGGGGATCTTCTTCTTGGTCCTCCGCTTCACTTGCACAGCAGCAAGCATCTTCTCATCGTGGGGTATGAAGACCTCCTTGTTGATGGCTGATTTGGCACTCATCTCTGAAGTGAGCAGGAGTGAAGAGTGGGCGAACAGTTTAAGTGGAGAGGACGAGATCCACTCTTCACTGAAGAGGAGAAAAAGATAAGGAAAAAATGGTATTAGCAAAGAACATGGACTAAGCTAAAAATAAAAAAAAAGTCTCACTTTCCAAAAGTCTCCTAAATGACAAAAAACACAAACAACATAATAACGTTCTAACTTGCCTCTACTGATATCTGACCATCCAGACCGGGTTTATTGCTCTATGTTTTGACATAAACAACTTTTGTTTGCTTTGGCTACTTTTGGGCCTTAATATGAAGGGCCCTATTTTTGTGTCTGCGCCACTACCAGCACAAGCTGCACTCAGACCAGTTTTTCTGGTGTCCAGAGCAGTGCACAGGTAGGATGAGAGGCTCATTCAAATGAGGCAGCGCAGAGCCCGTTGTTAGTATTTTGGATTTGAGAAAAGTATGAAAAATACAATTTTCAGTAGCAGAAAATGTTTTTTCTTGATTCATTTTTGGGGTATTTCTGCTCTCAGATTGGGAACCACTACCCTGCAGGTAAGTGATTGGTAATGTGGGTGAATTAACTCTTGAGAAACACAGTGGCATGAAGTGAGCGGGAGAAACCAGTCTGTTAAAGAACAGTTAACAGTTGTGTGTTCACAGCCTCGGCCTCGGGCTCCAAAATACACACACACACACACAAAATCTAAATTTGTACACTCTCACAGTGTACAGCAAGAAATGACAGAGTCCGAATGGTTGCAGCCAGTCTCCACGCTCTAGCTCTCTAAATGCTCGGCCAATGTTCTCCTTAGAAGCAGTGCCATTCACAGAGATGATATGACTTCAGCTAAAGCTGTTAAGAGTACTGCTAAGTCTCACTAGTACAGAGAAGCAATCATGTTTCTGTTATTACAAACCAATGTCTACAAGTGAATTTATTTCTTGGTGACTGGGAATATACCACAAGATACATGCCTGAAGGTGTCAGGGAAAACTGTGCTCAGTTGGCCCAACTGGGCTTAAATGCAGAAGAGAGTCATAAAGAATTGGGTTAATTAGGTCCAAATGGTCTCAGGAGGACTATGGAGCTTAATCATTTCCTCAACCACACACATTCACTTGAGATATACACAAGCATTCACAACCACATACCACACAGGCCACCCTGATGAACCTATCTATCTGTCAGTCTCAACCAGTCGATGAATTAGTCAAAGCGAGCCAGACTGCAAAACAATGCCTTCATCAAACTGGCTTGCTAATAAACAACAGACCACCAAGTTGTTTTCAGACAGCGCAGCAGGCGCTAAAATGAGTGCTCTGCAGCTGAGTAGAAGCAAGTTCACAGATTATTTTAAAAGCTAAAGTTGCAGGAGTACAAGGTTTACATGGGCAGTAAAAAAAAAAGTGCACAAGCAGACTTCTCCACCCCCAAACTTAGTGACTGAAAGGCAGCCATTGTTGACTGGTGGTCATTGTTAAAAGCAGGATTACGTCAGGCCAGAAGGAACACTTCACCAGCAGTGGAACATTAAAGCTTTGGGAGACAATAACATGGCTACAGTAAAATGCACTCTATAATAATAAATAGCCCTGCTGTAAGTACTGTCATGAAGCTATTATTGTTACATTTTTGTTGAGTGTGTCAGCTTTATGGTCATTTCTAAGACGGCATTTAGTGGTGGTTTCATACTGAACTGCATTACAGGCAAAGGTAATGTGTGTAATGTGCACAGGGGGTTGACAAAAGGAGTTAAATTATCACCTCTCTGACACAGTCACTCGCAAAAATCTAACATTATAAAGGTAGAAAAGTACGGCTGCTGTATGCCACCATGTTGTACAGATTTTCAAGCTATCGCCTATAAAAAGAGGCCCAGATAGACATATGGAAGGTTCACTGGAATTAGTGTGACATTTACAAACTTCGTTTTGGACACTTGTTTCTGTTTTCACCAGTTGATGAATGTATTGAATATCCTCTGTTTCTATCCATCTCCCTTCCTCTCTGCTCTCTCAGCAATGCAAGACTTTACAGTAAACAAAAACCCGGGCCAAGATTTTGTGGAGAGTAATTAAAGAGGCTAATAAATATGCCTTTCGTTGGATGAGATGTCCAACATCCCAACAATTCGCAACAAAACAGACTTAACTTCGCTATAAAAATATGACACCCTTGGTCAAAAGGCACAACGTTGTTTTTGCACTCTCAAAGACAGGAAAGCTTGTTCAATCAGAGCCTTTTAAGCGAGCCAGGCATGCAGCACTAAAAAGTGTTCAAAAGTGCTTTGACACCATGTCCTCTGAATATATTTCAATATTCTATGGTCAGCTCTGAATCTATTGAGCATTTAAATCTTCACCAAGGATGGTAGTTAAAACTCTGGAGCAGAGCTTCCAGTGCTTCTACACAATTTGACACTACAGACTGTTTACATACACACAGCAACTGCCCCAAATGAGCTCACCCATTCGCCGTGGTATCTAACCTTTTTGTGTGTCCTATCCTTCTCAATTACTGGATGGTACAACGAAGAAAACAAACGTAAAATGAAAATCAAGGTTAATTGCAAACCAGCCCAGCGGAGCTCCTCTCTGTGGAAGCCCTAATCCGTAGCATCTCTCACTCTTCTCTGACTTGCTCCAGCTGCGAAGGCTGCCCACATCTCCCTGCAAGCTGTCACCAGGCAGAGGGGAGCACATATCCCCCCTCAGGTGGCCCGCTGAAGCATGATGGGATGTGAGGAAGAAAACAAGGAGGAGGAAGAGGAGGAGGAGGCAGACAGGAGCCTCTGGGCAGTGAAATGTAGCCCGCTACAATGCATAGCTTATGGCTCGACTTTGAGCAGTATTATGCAATGTTCCCAGTGCGGGGCTGAGCGGTTGGACTGGAGGGAGCCAAGGAGCTGCTGTGGCGGTGAAAACGAGCTACATTTTACTTGTGTTTATCACCCCATTTCCAAGCAGAGGCCCTTTCAAAAACACTTCATTAACTGTGGCTGTGTATTGCCGAGCAGTTGAAGGAGCAGCACTGTTCCTGGCCATTCCCTTGGTCCCAGTGTGTTAATGTGAAATCCGTTCCGTCCGTGCTCACCGCTCTCCTGGGACCTCGTTGGAGTGCGGCCTTTGAGTTAGCTGCAAAGCCATTTATTTATTTTAGCTTCGACACAGTGCTGCTCTCCAGGTGAATGATATGGGCCTGAACACACTGAACTAAACATGTCTTTAATTTCCTTTTTGGTAAGAGAAAAACTAAAGTCAGACCTTCAGTTGGCACAATCCATCTAGAGAGGAATTTCCAAGTATATTTTCTCTGCTGCTGGTGTAATTAAAATGCTGGTAGCTGGTGCGAGAACTACTTAGATAGTGAGCCATTAGATCTTGATTACATTGATATGAAGTAGTGAGCTACAGTATTGATTTGGATTAGTGACCTAAGGCAGACTGAAGGAGCGGCGACACCTACTGTGACAGTAACATGTAGAATTATATCTTCTCCGTAACTTTGTAGCCTATATCTGAGATTTTCCCTTTTGGATTCTGACAGCTTTAACTATGGGAAAGCTCCAAAATCCCTTTTCTGCACAGAGCCTGCATTGCAGAACCCAGTGGAAAGTGTTTATTGGAATAACAGAAAGAGCAGTTTGCTTTTGGGACCAATCTATTACTAATATTATAAAAGACATTCAGTTTCTGAAGCCCCATGTATCGTAAACTTAAAATACACACGTTCAGCAAACACATACAGGTGCACTGTACAGGTGTGTCAAGACAAGAGAGAACAACAGCAGAGAACAAGAGGGAAGGCAATGTGGGAGATATCACTTGCAGTTGGGACTAAACCTTATCTGAATCAGTGTGGTGTACAAAAGAAACGCATTGCAAATTTGGAACTTAATGATATCTGGCAAGGTAACCGACTCAAACAGATAATATAATCCTCGTCTAGAGGAAACTCATTGCCTGCATCTACTCCTCCCACTCACATTTGACTGACTTTCAGAAACTTTCAAAGACAAAGTCGTTCCTTTCATTCCACACTGCGCTCTCAAAAGCTGTGTGAAAGAAATAAAACACGACGCCTCATCTGCAGCCTCTTGTGCGTGTCTTTCATGTTGGTTCCCGGCCCCGTGCACGGCCTTGATTTTACAGAAAAACCTCCCACAGGGCACACATCTTCACAGATTACATCTGTAGAGAGTGATGTCACACGACGGTGTCACTTTGAACGAGCGGTATCCAACATCGCCCCGTGAACAGATGGTGAATGTTACCTCTCAGAAAATAATTGAGAGATTACGCTGTGGACCCTGCTGTTTTTGCAGTGTCAACGCCAGCCCGTGATGTATTAAAATCAAATCTTACGTAAGTGCATCATGGAGCTGCAAAGACAAAAACTCAGTCTTGACATGAGCAGTAAAAACGTTTCAGTTACAAACATCATGTTGGCTGATAAGGTCCAATAACACCGAGAATTATTAGGTTGTACAAGAACACATTCCAGTTCATGCTGAGGAAAAACTCTCTCTGGGATTTCATAAGACAAGAAAGCCAGTGAAAGTGAACCAATAAAACTTAGCAGTATCTCTACAGTGTACTACTCCAAACCTGCACTCTCTCTCTCTATGGGAGCTACACTTTGAGGCTGCAGTGCACAATAGCAACAGCAGTAGCACTTTTTGTTAATACGCAGTCAAAAACAAACACAGGCATAGGGCAGCTTATTCAAGCTGTGTGAGACTTCAGGCCTGATTTAGCTGTCCAAGTTTGGAGATCTAAGACCAAATCCCTCCACCAGAACCAACTGAATGTGCATGCCAGACAGCAAAGCTCATTAAGAGAGTTCTTCTCCCATCTTACACATCCAGAAATCTTCCAATATGCTTGATTTAGTCAAATCTGCTATGCTGTTCTAGTATGTAAAGACGGGGTTTGAAAGCAAGTAAAGTGCACCAGGAAACAGTGGAAGCTCAAATACTCAATAACAACAGGCTTTCTAAGTTACCTCCAAACACAAATGACAAGCAGTGCGGCAACTAAACCATTCTGTTCAGCACTCAGATACATTGGCTGATTTTTTAGCACACTCAGGTGAAAAACTGGCTTTTTTCCCTTGTTTTGTTTTGGAAAGCGCAGGGCGTCTGGATCCCTTACAACAAAACCCAAATGAAGTCTTTTCTGAGCTTGAATCAGTTTACAATGTGCACGATAATGTTGGCGAGACAAGAAATAACAGGAAATAAAGTTTGTGCTCAGCATAGGTAAACTGATTTTGAAATAATGAATGGGGGAAGCCCATGTAAGCATCCATAACTGTCTATTCCGAGATGCTACTGCTGTCATTTGTAGGCCACTTTATTCTTGAGGGAGTATTACCGCAGTGTGTCTGAGATGCTCTTAGAGGAGGGCACACTTTCAAGGAGGAGAATGGGAGAAGAGAAGATCAAAAACATTCTGGCTTTAGATCCTTTTCATAATTTCCTTGTTCTTGTTTCTTCCTGCCGCATTAATTATGTAATAATATGTCTCTAATGTGAGTTGTGGAAACTAATGTACATTGTATATTGAGGGACAAAAGGTAAACGACAATGTACACAAAAATAGGTGACGTAAATCCCGCTGATATGGAGGCCATTGATCACGAGAAAAAGAATAGCTCTTCATCAAAGCAGCTTGTTCAATAGGATCTTAGTATTTTCCCTCAAAAAAGGAAAGATATGGAAGTACCCATCCATTTTCCTGGGTGCCTCAGCTGCTAGTGAAGGTTCTATAGTGCCAGGGAGGCATGAGCGAACCGTGAATCAATTAATGACATGACGCCAGGCCCCCCAAATGAGCTCATCCTTTATAGCCCGGCATCCTATGGCAATAAAACATTTGGGAGGGAACGAACAGTGGTGGGTAAATAGCATAAAAGCAAACAGAGCACTTAACAAATATACGTCTCAAATACAGCTGCAGCTATCATAACACACAATGAGTCAATTAGATACTGGGGCAATGGCTTGTGGCATTAACAAAAGTGAATGTACAATTAATTGGCATAAAGATAAGATAAAACAAAATCACTGTACGTCAGTGTACATGACCAGAATCATAGATTTAGATGATATACACAGAGCAAAATCAGCACACATTCTGACGTAAACTAACTTTACTACTTCTCCATTCGATGTGTTGCAAAACAGAGGTGCAGCTATGACTGTAGCACAGAGAGCGTGGTTTTTCTGTAATGCAGGGAGGACATCCAGACATGTCATTTTGTCAGAAACACTGACAGGCTGGTTTTTGTTCCTCTTTTCATTATACGATCCACTTCAGAAACAGGGCTCTTTATGTCTGCCTTCAAGGATACCTGTCCTCTGTCGCAGCAGAACACGGCGAGGTGGTGGACACACAGGGAGGGAGCCAGCTCGACAGTTTGCGCGGTGCTGACTGTAATTGGACACTGAAGTATGGGGAAAGGTATAAGCTTATCTTTTATGGCGCGCCACAGCAAATGAAGCCCTGAACTCTTGCATAGGAAGAGGCTATATTTCAATGTAAGTGGGTTAGCTAACACCATTGGGAGGCACAGGGGTAAGATCAGGAAGCTCACAGCTCATCTGAACCAAACTGCCTTCTCGGTCCCAACCTGTCACTGAGATACAGCAGTGGAGACATGTGGTAATTGCTCTTCAGAGATCCTGTTTAAACACAACTAGCTTTTCTCTATCTTTGGATTTGGCGAAGAGCTAGACCTAGTGTTTTGGAGCCTCCAAAACACCTAATAATAAAGTAGAAGAAAATAATGACAAAATGAGTGAAAGAAAACATAAATACGGTTTCCTTTTCCCGACAAAAACAAGATACATGGTAAATAAAATGTAAACAACGTACAGGACTCCACATTTCATCACTGTGAAGACGAGAATAATAATGTAAAAACTGCTCCATCCCATCCAGCCAAAACAAGGATCTTTCAGGCAAGATGCCATTTAGGAAATGCAAGGGGTTTTTCCTGAGAACATCAACTTGTAATTTGCTTGTTTTGGAGCACCCAGGTGGCGTCTGGGGGGTGCTAAGCAGCTGCCTAGTACGCCAAACTTATTTCTAACACAGCACCAAAGAACTGGTTATAGGACTGCTGAGTGCTGTCACATTAAGAGCAAAGCAACTGCCACTGATGATCCCAATGACGTACTTACCATTTAAGATTTAATGCTGATCAAATATATTGATTATTTCCGCTGGGGAGAACACCAGCATCAGGGATGATCAACACTTCACTGCATATGGTCCCAGAAGCAGCAGTACAAAACACCATCACCACATTTACAGAGCTTTAAAATGTGACCAGAATGCTTTGAGACATCATGTGACGACTGTATGGTCTTGTAATAAGTGCCTCATGTTGCCTTGATACAGAAGCGCAGCCTACACTCCTAATACGCAGCTATTCAACTTGGACAACACCCAAATTCACTTGTCTGGGTTTAAAGGAATTTCACTGGAATATTTGCACTTCCTAGTCATACAGAGGACGGGGGCCAAACTTGTTCCGATCAAATATTGTGCGATTTAAACAGGTTTGAAGCAAGAAGGTACTATAGTTTTCTTTTCAACACACCGTGACCGCAGCCTTCTGTTTATGGACAGCTCCAGAAACAGGGAGGCGCGGTTCACCTCCGTGGACATTCATAAACCAACAAAAAATGACAGTACATCAGCTTGAATCATCCTAATTTTGTCAAAGCAAAGGCGGGAACATTTCATCACCAAGTTTGCTTCCGAAAGCCCAGTGGAGACATCTGTAAAAACAACTCTCAGTTCATCCAATCTTACAATAACGACGCTGGGTTTAGGCGTTTACTTTGATAGTACACCGGCACGCGCACCGACACTTAATGAGCCAAACGCGCGCGCGCACACTTGTTCTGATGTTTAACCGCAAAGTGTCCGACAGGTTGTTGACGCAGTGAAAACAATATCAATAACGCGAAAAACAAACACAACCCCGCTCGAGTGCCAAAAACATCAATTAAACTTTCGAAAACACAAGTGCAGTTTGGAGTTAACGTTACTTACCGACGTGTTTCGGCGTTGCTTTCCACGTGCAAGCCCAGTTGATCTGTTCCCCTCCAAGCTGCTGTCACAGTTCACCCACTTCAGGCAGTCTCTTCCTCGCTGTTTGCTGTCTTCTCACACTAACCGGTAGCATTTCGGGTTTAACATCCCGTCGGAAAAAAAAAACTCACTTCTACCGACCGTTGTTGGTTTCTAGGTGACGGGAGAAAGAGTTTGTTTTCCCCCTGCTGCCGCGTCGGCGGAGAGGCTGTGTCCGTCTGACTGCAGCTCAGTGTGTGTGTCTGTATCTCTCTCTGTGTGTGTGTGTGGAAACCAGTAGCAGGTTCCCAATCCGTCAGACACACGAACCCTCCCGCCAATCACGTACAGTGTCACACGACCACGTAGCACCACGCAATTCCACATCTGCACGTCGTGTTGGGAGTTTACTGTCATCGGCTGGGAGTTTCATTAGAAGAGCATACCCACGCTAGATGTTGTAAATGGTGGCTGTTTATGGGCTATAGTAAAGTCATAAAACATTTTTATTTACCATACTTTTCCATCTTGTGACGCTTGCAAGCATCCTGGTTGGGGATGCAGGGCTCAAAGTATCAAAGTATAGGCTCCCTAAAAGCTAAAAGTCACATTATTTTCTTTATGAAAACTAGAGCACATTTACAAGGACACTACACATGCATACAGTAAGCTACATAAAGTCCCAATACGCGCCTTTTAAGAGTTTAAAAATAGCCTACTGTTTGTTTTCTAACTGGTTATTTGACTTATATTAACAGTGACACTTTCAGCCCCTATGGGGATATTAACTATAAGTCTAAAATGGTGGCAACTCTTTCTGTGTGTGTGTCTGTGACTCACCTTAAATATCTCTGATTATAGTAGCCATCCCACACAATAACTGAGTGAATAAGTTCAGTATCTACAACATTCCCCAAGGTCACCATTAAAACAAAGTAGTTACACTACCAAGACTGGACTCATACTAAAGACAAATTGAGTCCTTATGGAACTATTATAGAATTAAACTGGTGAAAAGTTAACAGTAATGGTTTTTATTACCTAGTCTCTGTAAATCAACAACTAGGGAATACCCGGGGTAATTTGGAAAGTGGTTTAGAATGACCTGCTTGGACAGTGCTCCGCTACCTGATGAGGTTACTGACTTTATAACAGTGACTTCAAGTTCTTCTCAGGATACACTGTAATTTGGACTATAATTGTGGTTAAAGTCATATTTTATAGTGTTATTACCCTGTCTCTGTGACTCAGACCTTAAATATCTCAGATAGTAGGCGTCCCACAATATGATTTAATGAACAGTGACTAGGGCATTTCCCAAGATTACTATAAAAAAAAAAAAGTGGCCTAACTTCTTTGAATTACTTGTTTAGACAGGCCCACACTACTTGAACATTTTCCAAATCCCTTCTGGATGTATGGGAGGTGTCAATGTTCAATACTGCCCTAAACTGCCAGCAGCTGTTGACTACCATCTTTTGTTTCTACAGCCATGCCAACAGAAATTTGTTCCCTGGGAATTCACACACAGAAGCAGTGGGACTGAGAGTGTGTAAGTGTGTGTGTGTGTGTGTGTGATTGTGTCTGATGTTTTGCTTGGCTGGTTGTGAGTCATCCAAATTCCCTACGGAGCTCTAATTCCTCTCCTGGTTGATTTGGCTCCTTTCATAAGGTCTGTCTTCATTTTGAAGAGACTTGGACAGCACTGGCTCATCTGAGATAGTTCAAGTTTTATGCGCTTCTGTTTCATTGCCTCTGGGCCTTTTGCAGCTGATCATTAGCATGTTGCAGAGGGAATGTGATGAGTATTTAAGCCATTGTTTTTTGTCATACAAAGCAGGCGACCAGTTGTACAGATGTCTGCGGGTCAGCTGAGAAAGCGTAATGACAGATAAACAATTTGTCGCTTACAAAACTGCCGTTCTGAAATTAAACATGAATGTTTCTGATTTCAGTGAAAACATTTTGCAGGAGTTTGTCTTTTTAGCTTTTCTGTGCTAATTTCCTGCAACAACTAAGTCCTCGTAAGGTGTCAGTGCCATTGTAAGCACATAAGACCAGCTGTATTAATAGCAGATGTCATTATGTTCTCACTTATGAATACAACTTATGTACCAACTCCAAGCTCAAAAACAAATTACTCAATGCAGCTGGGGAAAAAAATGGTACAAAATCATACTTGGCTGTTGGCACACCAATAATCAAATATGGATGTTCCTTATTCATCCAGCCCTTGAAGCTTCCTTGGGATCATATTACAGTTTGTCTGGCTTTGTGATTCCATACTACAGCAAGCTGCTCAACCATCTGGTGGAGCATGTGGAAATAGTTCATTTTAGGATTGAAAAATGTTGAGTCTTCTGTGACTTTTTTTTTTTTTTTTACTCTTTATAACAGCATCAATGCTACTCGCCTTCTCTCTCTCTCTCTCAGCACAATTTAGTGGGTGTCACAGTTTCCTTGTACGCACATAAGATAATTAAGTGCGATCATTCCCTTTGCAGTATGTCAAAGTTTCACAGTTGTATTTGTCGTGGG